TACTGAAATTATCACATCATTAGATAACCTTTTTCATAATTATTAACTTGAAATGTGACAACGTCGTGTGTTTAAGAGAGTATATGAGAGGCGCGGAGCTAAGCTTCCGCCCGTCACTACCACAAATTCCAGATTTGTAAAAGACTTTATTAATTAAATGAATAAATATTTTTCCCCGTGTTAAATTTTCATATACTTGCCTTTTTTTATCAGTCAGACTGATTATTATTTTTAACAACAACATTCAGCCGGCTATTTGAAAATTAATGGATGCAAATGTGTATTTGGACACACATCAATGCATTTGCGATTACTATTATGATAGTTACCCCATATTTCCTTTTTATGCATCCATATTTCTAAATCATGGCTGTTTTTTTTTCACATTGATTAGCTCTATTTGAAGCCTCATGTCGCGTGGTGTTATATTGAATATATGTTGGTGTTATGGTAATGATGTATGCTGGCGCTGCTGCTGTGCTGTTATGCTGGGCGCTGCTGCTGCTGCTGCTGTATGCTGGCGCTGCTGCTGCTGCGTATGCTGGCGCTGCTGCTGTGCTGTATGCTGGCGTGCTGCTGCTGCTGCTGCTGCTGCTGCTGTTGTATGCTGGCCCTGCTGCTGCTGCTGCTGCTGTATGCTGGCGCTGCTGCTGCTACTGTATGCTGGCGCTGCTGCTGCTTGCTGTTGTATGCTGGCCCTGCTGCTGCTGCTGTATGCTGGCCCTGCTGCTGCTGCTGTATGCTGGCCCTGCTGCTGCTGCTGTATGCTGGCGCTGCTGCTACTGCTGTATGCTGGCGCTGCTGCTGTATGCTGGCGCTGCTGCTGCTGTATGCTGGCGCTGCTGCTGCTGCTGTATGCTGGCGCTGCTGCTGCTGTGTATGCTGGCGCTGCTGCTGCTGCTGTATGCTGGCGCTACTGCTGCTGCTGTATGCTGGCGCTGCTGCTGCTGCTGCTGTATGCTGGCGCTGCTGCTGCTGTATGCTGGGCGCTGCTGCGGGTATGCTGGCGCTGCTGCTGCTGTATGCTGGCGCTGCTGCTGCTGTATGCTGGCGCTGCTGCTGCTGTATGCTGGCGCTGCTGCTGCTGTATGCTGGCGCTGCTGCTGCTGCTGCTGTATGCTGGCACTGCTGCTGCTGCTGTATGCTGGCACTGCTGCTGCTGCTGTATGCTGGCGCTGCTGCTGCTGTATGCTGGCGCTGCTGCTTGTATGCTGGCACTGCTGCTGCTGCTGTATGCTGGCGCTGCTGCTGCTGTATGCTGGCGCTGTCTGCTGTTGCGACTGCTGCTGCTGCTGTATGCTGGCACTGCTGCTGCTGCTGTATGCTGGCACTGCTGCTGCTGCTGTATGCTGGCACTGCTGCTGCTGTATGCTGGCACTGCTGCTGCTGCTGTATACTGCTGCTGTATGCTGGCACTGCTGCTGCTGCTGTTGTTGTGGTGCTATGTGCTGGCGCTGCTGCTGCTGTGCTGCTTCCTGTTGTTGCGCTGCTGTTGTGCTGCTGTATGCTGGCGCTGCTGCTGCTGCTGTATGCTGGCGCTGCTGCTGCTGCTGTATGCTACTGCTGCTGCTGCTGTGCTGCTCTCTGCGTCTGTGTGTTGCTGCTGCTGCGCTGCTGGCTTGCGCTTGCTGCTGCTGTGTTATGCTGCGCTGCTGCTGCTGCTGATCCGCTGCTGTGTCTGTACTACTGCTGCTGCTGCTGTGCTGCTCCTGTTGTTGCGCTGCTGTGTTGTGCTACTGTATGCTGCGCTGCTGCTGCTGTTGTGCTGCTGCTGTATGCTGGCGCTGCTGCTGTTGTTGTGCTGCTGCTGTATGCTAGCGCTGCTGCTGCTGTTGTTGTGGTGCTGTATGCTGGCGCTGCTGCTGCTGTGCTGCTCCTGTTGTTGCGCTGCTGTTGTTGTGCTGCTGTATGCTGGCGCTGCTGCTGCTGTTGTTGTGGTGCTGTATGCTGGCGCTGCTGCTGCTGTTAGTGCTGCTGCTGTTGTCTGCTGATCTGACTGGCTGTGTATGTTGTGTATTAGGGATTTGTAGGTGGTGGGGTGAGGGTAGTGCTGGTGTTAGTTGGGATGGGAGGAGTACTTATTGGTAGCAGTAGTGTTGATGGTCGTGGTGTGGTTGTAGCCTTTGTTAGTGGTGGAGCTGGTGGGTGGAGGGGGAGGGTTGTTGCTTATCATGGGCGGTGGTGATGGTGTGTGTGTGTGTGTGTGTGTGTGTGGTGTGTGTGTGTGTGTGTGTGTGTTTGATACTATGCTTACCCTGATGTCCTCACTCTTATATAAGGTTTGCAGCCTTTGTCTCCGAGTCTGTACTCCGACTTTGGTCTTCTTTGCCCTTCACCAGCTTCCATAACTTCCATTTGCCGAGGTTAAACTGGAATAGCCACAGCCCAAAAATGTGCAGTCCACCCATCTCTCTCTCTCTCTCTCTCTCTCTCTCTCTGTCTGTCTCTCTCTGTCTCTCTCTCTCTCTCTCTCTCTCTCTCTCTCTCTCTCTCTCTCTCTTCTCCTCTCTCTCTCTCTCTCTCTCTCTCTCTCTTGCCTCACGTCCCATACCTTGTCATAAAACTCCAGCAGTTTGTGAGACACGCTTTACCATCTGTAAAACCATATTGCTTGTTATGAACCTGCTATCCAGGTTTGTAGATGAATGGTTCAGAGAACCGACATGGTGATAAATTAGACACGTGTGCAACTCTTGGGTATCTTTGTTGAGGAAACGTTTCGCCACACAGTGGCTTCTTCAGTCCTTACAAAGTAGAAACGTGAAGAACAGGAGGAGAATGAGGTGATCAGTCCCTCAACCTTGAGTCGATGTGGTCAGTACATCAATCTAATTCCTAAGTATTAACTTCTTGGGATCTTAATACTTAGGAATTCTTCGCTTGCCTAACCCATGGGCACGACCTACTTCCACACTGGACAAATGTGACACCACCTACCACTGCTGCACCTCTCCTGCCTACGGTATATAAGCTACTGCTCCGTACATATGCTGTATTCTTTTTTCATTGCTGTAGCACCTTCAGGATCTGTCTTCCTGCGCCTCTGGCTCAACCATAGGCTGTCTCTGTTCTTTTAATTGTTTCTGCTGCTCCTGGGTACGAGTTCCACTGCCTCCCGGCTCTCTCCACCTACACACTCCATCATTTCATTCATTTACTGTCATATTTCTCTTTCCCCACTGCTCTTCATTCAGGAATTGTCTCATGCCTGAAAAGTCTCCTCTGTTGAAGTCTGGCTTCTCTGTTCCTCCCCTTCATGTTCTCTCAAAGCCTCAAAGCATAACAACGTGACGGATGAGACACGTGTGTAACACGTAGGTATTTTTTTTTTTTTGCCAAGAAGTTTTGCTCTTTGTAGGCCTCATCAGTGTAATACCGAAGCGATGACAGTACTGGAGACAGTAGTTGAAGTGGAGAGTGTTGCACTTGTGTCTTTGTTATCGTTTTATCGGTAATGTATATTTTATAATATATGATCAGTACCGCGCGGTCGCTGCCAGTGAGGGACGTCTTGTAGTTGATGACCTTCACATGAAAAACACTTTGGGTGAATACAAGGTCCAGCCTTGCTGGCACGTCTCTCTCTGGTCAGGTCCATGACATTTTGACAGTGTTCCACCACCTCCATCATCTTAACCCTCGACGTTCCCCCCGTGTGTGTGTGTGTGTGTGTGTGTGTGTGTGTGTGTGTGTGTGTGTGTGTGTGTGTGTGTGTGTGTGTGTGTGTGTTCTGTAGTAACATTAGAGAATCTTCAAAAATATCACAGAAAACGCCTTCTTGGTAAGTAACTTAAGAAAGGAGCAAGGATAGAAGAGAGAGATGAGGGAGAATGAGAGAGAGAAAGATTGAGAGAAGGGAGAAGAGACGAATAAATAGAGGAGAATAACGAATAAATAAAGGTAATTACGAAATGAAGCGTTTACTTACGAAGAAGATGGGAGAGGGTAGAACATGAGAGAGGGAGAGGGAGAGAGGAGAGAGAGAGAGAGAGAGAGAGAGAGAGAGAGGCAGCAGAGGGGAGTCCATTAGTCCCCCATTACCCATCCTCCCCTCGTCACTGACCCTCGGGACCAGGTAACGGGATCAAACGACCAGCTCCCCTCTCCTCTCTACCCTGCTTTACTCTCTCTTCTTCTCTCTCTCTCATTTGCTGTATGTTACCACTTTCCCTTACCATCTCGTTATCTCTCACTTTTTCTTTCTTTCCAAGTTTAAACATATTTGCTGCTGTTTAATCACTGTTGTTTTAATGGCCACAATGTCTGACTTCAGACAATATCCACGAGGGTTACCTTTTATGACCTTGCCCTTTTTTTTTGGGGGGGGGGGGGTCTCTCCACTGTTTTCCTTCTTAAAATGGGAAAGTCTTTGATAGTTTTATAAAAAAAAAATCTGATAAGAATGTAGAAAATTTAAGACAGTTCAATACAATAAGATATACAGACTTCTAGGTATTTATATACTGTCGATTCCTCAGATATATTCTCTTCTCGGTTTATGTGAGATGAGTTATACACCTATATAGTTCCTGAGATATATGCTTTCTGTGTATATATCCTTTCGAATTCTGAGAAGCATTTCCATTTCCAAGGTCACAACTGTCCCCTTCCACACTCCATTAGTTCCCCCATTAGCATCTCTCCCATCACTTGTAGAGTGTGATTTCCCCATTAACCTCTCTTTCCCATCAAATAAATGAGACACTTGTGCTATACTTAGGTATCTTTAGTGTGGCAACGTTTCGCCCTCTCATCAGTGACTTTTATCAAAGCTGATGGACTGAACCCACCATCTCTAGGCTGGGGGACAGACCACCTCGAATTCCCTCTTTCAAACCTTACTATTATTCTCTATATTGGACTGATAAAGCCACTGGCAGGAGGAACGACTCTACCGTAAATATAATCAAAGTATTGCACAAATCTCTCATTCGTTTAATTTTCGTTTTTTTTTTCCTAAAGCGCTTGTATCGTATCTAACGCACCGCCATTACTCACAGGTGTGGTTCCAGAACCGGCGGGCCAAGTACCGCAAGCAGGAGAAGCAGCTGCAGAAGGCGCTGGCGGGGACACCGTCAGTCTTGCCCACCTGTAACGGTGCCATGATGAGGAACATGTACCCCACAGCTACACGGGGGTATCAGCCGTACCCCAGCCACAACGCAATATCCACCTTCAACACCATGAACCGATACCCCCAGGTTAGAGAGCGTGGCAAGGGGTGAGAAGGACCTCCCTAGTGTGGGCCAATACGTCCACTGCAGTGTTCTTCCTAAGATTAAAATCTCAAAAAAGGGGCTAGAGTATTTAAGATTTAAAATTATAAACTGGGCGATATTTCGGTTCATTCAGGACCATTATCACGACGCAACATAAAAAAAAACGTAATTTGCTTTTCATTTTTCTTTCTCAACTCTAGCTAATGTAGACATAAGTAATATAGACCTAAGTAATGTAGATCTATGTATTGTAGACCTAAATAATGTAGACCTATGTATTGTAGACTTAACTAATGTAGACCTAAGTAATATAGGCCTAAGTAATGTAGACTTACATGTGATCTATATAAGCTCATAAGTACTGAATGCAAACCTGACTAGTAATATAGGCTAAGAATGTAGTTAAGTTTAGTAGTCAGCAACTTAAGAAGTGATTGCCAAAAGAATGTTCAAGTAAATTATTTACATCCACAAAGTTATACAACCAAGTTAGTCTCTTGTAACTAACTAACAACCACTGTAACTAACTCACAACCACTGTAACTAACTCACAACCACTGTAACTAACTCACAACCACTGTAACTAACTCACAACCACTGTAACTAACTCACAACCACTGTAACTAACTCACAACCACTGTAACTTAACTCACAACCACTGTAACTAACTCACAACCACTGTAACTAACTCACAACCACTGTAACTAACTCACAACCACTGTAACTAACTCACAACCACTGTAACTAACTCACAACCACTGTAACTAACTCACAACCACTGTAACTAACTCACAACCACTGTAACTAACTCACAACCACTGTAACTAAATCACAACCACTGTAACTAACTCACAACCACTGTAACTACTCACAACCACTGTAACTAACTCACAACCACTGTAACTAACAACCACTGTAACTAACTCACAACCACTGTAACTACACAACCACTGTAACTAACTCACAACCACTGTAACTAACTCACAACCACTGTAACTAACTCACAACCACTGTAACTAACTCACAACCACTGTAACTAACTCACAACCACTGTAACTAACAACCACTGTAACTAACTCACAACCACTGTAACTAACTCACAACCACTGTAACTAACAACCACTGTAACTAACTCACAACCACTGTAACTAACTCACAACCACTGTAACTAACTCACAACCACTGTAACTAACTCACAACCACTGTAACTAACTCACAACCACTGTAACTAACTCACAACCATTGTAACTTACTCACAACCACTGTAACTAACTCACAACCACTGTAACTAACTCACAACCACTGTAACTAACTCACAACCACTGTAACTTACTCACAACCACTGTAACTAACTCACAACCACTGCAACTAACTCACAACCATTGTAACTAACTCACAGCCACTGTAACTCACAACCACTGTAACTAACTCACAACTACTGTAACTAACTCATAACCACTGTAACTAACAATCACTGTAACTAACTCACAACTACTGCAACTAACTCACAACCATTGTAACTAACTCACAGCCACTGTAACTCACAACCACTGTAACTAACTCACAACCACTGTAACTAAATTACAACCACTGTAACTAAATTACAACCACTGTAACTAACTCACAACCACTGTAACTAACTCACAGTCACTGTAACTAACAACCACTGTAACTAACTCACAGCCACTGTAACTAACTCACAACCACTGTAACTAACTTACAGCCACTGTAACTAACTCACAACCACTGTAACTAACTCACAACCACTGTAACTAACTCACAGCCACTGTAACTAACAACTACTGTAACTAACTCACAGCCACTGTAACTAACTCACAACCACTGTAACTAACTTACAGCCACTGTAACTAACTCACAACCACTGTAACTAACTCACAACCACTGTAACTAACTCACAACCACTGTGAATAACTCACAACCACTGTAACTAACTCACAGCCACTGTAATTAACTCACAACCACTGTAACTAACAACCACTGTAACTAACAACCACTGTGACTAACACACTCAACAACACCACTGTAACAAACTCACACCACTGTAACACCTCACAACCATTCTTGTAACTAACTCACAATCCACTGTAACTAACACAACCACCGTAACTAAACAACCACTGTACAACTCACAACCACTGTAACTAAATCACAACCACTGTAACAACTCACAACCACTGTAACAAGCTCACAACCACTGTAATAATCCAATCACTGTAACAAACTCACAACACTGTAACTAACTCAACACAAAAACTCACTA